CAGGGTTGGTATGTGAGGGGGTGCATGAGTGTTATGATGCTGTGGCCAAAATGGGGGCTGGGCCCCAAGCAAGGGCTTGTTGGCCAGGCTTCATTTTTAAATAAAGTAAAATATTATGTCCAACATACAAAATTTCAACATTGTCTTTATTTATGGCAGGGGTGTGGAACCTTTTTTTTGGTCAGCGGCCACTGACCCATGGAAAAATCAGTTGGAGACCACACAAGTGAGACCTCACGTCCCCAGCGCTCCATCCCCATGGGTGGGGATAAGGGAGGACTGAGGTTTAAGGCTTCAGGCCAGATTAACTCTTCTGGGATTCTAGGGTTAGTGGATTTTGTGGGCCTCCCTCAGGGCAAGACAGTGTGCAGAACGGAGCTGCTAGTGAATGGGATAGGGATGGGAGTGCAGGATCTGGGTGGGAGGTAGGGTGCAGGAGCAGTCTTGGTATCTGACCAAGGGAGAGGGGGCAGGAGCAAGCTGAGGGGTAGGTGTCTGGCCAGGGGAGAGGGGACAGGAGCAGGGTGCGGGTGCATGTCTGGCCAGGGACAGAAGCAGGGTGCTGGTAGGTGTCTGGCTGGTCAAGGGGGCAGGATCAGGCTGGGGGTGCAAGGTCTTGGTGTGGGGGAAGGAGGGTCTGGGTAGCACTTACTTACTTTTTGCGCCTTTGCTGCTCTCAGGGTCCCTGTCCCAGGCATGGTTTCTCGCTGCGCCATTGGCTGGATTCTGGCCAATGGAGCAGCAGTGGGATCTCCAGCTTCGGAGTCAGCCATGAGCAGAACCTGAGTTTAAGGCGCCTCGATGAGACTGGGCCTGAGACAGCTCCAATGGTCCCCCTCAACCTTGCACACATGGCCCTGTGGCAGCCCAGGAGCAGCAGCAGCATCCCACTCCCATTGCCTCCCCAGCTCGACTGGCACCTGCTGGTGTCTAGGGACAAGTATCTCTCAGGCAGGATCCGCAGGCAGCGCTGGAAGAAGCACACGTGCTGCTCCTTCATGAAATCCAGCTACTCCTCATCTCCAAAGCCTGGATCCTCTGCCGCCATCTTAGCCACCATCTCCACTAAGGCCTGGCGCATTCAGTGTGCATCACCACCACATCCAGCGCAGCTGGATATGCTCGCTCACATGATCTTGGCATTCATATCTGCTGAGACGAGAGACGCTTCCTAAACTAAAAGATTATTTTAAAGTCTAGGAAAGCTCGAGGCTTTTTCCACCACTTCCTGCCTCTGCAATAAGCCGGTGTTGGTTCCAATCTTTCAGGATTCGATTGCCAGTACGAGTTCTCCATTGCAGCAGACATGGGGGGGCTGAGCTCAAGGTGTAAGCCATATTTATCTCCTAAGTGAGCCATAGATTACCAACCCCTGCTATAGATGATACAGACAACCCCCATTTATTTATCTGGGGGGATGTATACACTACAGCGTTCTTTTGAAATAACTTATTTCAAATTAACTATTTCAAAATAAGATATTTTGAAATAACGTGTCTACACACAAAATGCATTTCGAAATAGTGTTTTGCTATTTTGAAATAGCGCGTCCACACTGAATGGATGCTGAATCGCATTTAAGGCCGGCCGGAACCAGGTGCGGAAGGGCATCAGGTCAGGAGTTACTTTGTGTGGCTGCTGCCTGAGGCTATCTGAGGCCTGTGCTTAAAGGGACCGCCCCAGATGGCCGGTTCTCAGGTTTCCCTGCTTGCTTGCCTACCTCGATTAGGGACACCACAGCACCCTGCAACATGGAGACAGAGCTACCCTGGGGCACTCTGGTGCTTCTCGTGGATGCATTGCTGTGAGTCTGGCTGCACTTTCTGCAGGCTACCATCAGGGCACTGTTAGTATCCAGGAGGCCCTGCGGGAGAGCTTCCACCCTGAGGAGCACTAAGAGCCTCCCTGGTCTGCCCCACTGAGGGCTTCTGCCTCATTCCTCCTTCATGTCCTTCCACTTACCCTCCCTGACCCCCCCTTTCTGATGTCAAATAAATTACACGTATTTTCATGAACACAAATTCTCTTTATTTAACAAAACGGGGGCGGGGGGAATGAAACTATGGTAAGACTGGGGAAAGAAGGCGGGAGAGAGGAGAAAAGAGGGTGGGGGAGGGAAGGGAGAAACCTGGGAGGAGGGAGCTGGAAGGGAGAAGCAAGAGGAAGAAGAGAGAGGGAAAGCTCAGGGCTCAGGCTTGGGGGTCTCGCCAGACCAACTTGATTTTCATGCAAACCTGCTCCTGGGTTCGCATGTGGCCTTTGGTGGCCAGGCTGGCAGCTATCCTGCCATAGACGGCTGCATTCCTCCATCTAGTGCAGAGATCACGGACATTGGGGGCATCCCCCCCAAACCTGAATTAGGTACATGATCTCCACCCTGTGCATCCCCCCCAAACCTGAATAAGGTCCATGATCTCCACCCTGGTCCAGGAAGGTGCCCATCTTCTCTGGACCCTGGCAGGCTCCTGGGAGCTGGCATACTGCTCTTGGGGAGCAGTGAAGGGCTGGCTGCCAGTAGTTTGCGGCTCATGTTTGGGGGCCACTGGGTCAGGGGCAGTGACTGCCGGCTTTGGGCTGGCAGGCTTGGAGCTGGCACAGGCACTGTGGCCAGACTCTACCCATTTAAGGGCTCTGGGGATGGGGGGAGGGAGAGGAGTGTTTTTGGTTGAGGCTGGAGTGGCCACCAGGGTACCCTGGGAAGGGCTGGAGGCCCCCTATTTCGATATAAGTGTCTACACCACACTTATTTAGACATAGCTATTTCGAATTTGGCATTATTCCTCCTGGAATGAGGTTTACCAAATTCGAAATAAGCACTCTGCTATTTCAAATTAATTTTGAAATAGCGGTTTGGCTGTGTAGACACTAGTAAAGTTATTTTGAAATAACAGCTGTTATTTCGAAATAACTTGGCTGTGTAGACATACCCTAATTCCAACTTCAGCTTCCATGATGCTCTTCTTTCCTAGTTCACTTCCTAGCCTGCTGACTGCTCCTGAAAAGTTTTCTTTCTCTCTACAACACACCTAGGTTTCCTATCTCTCTAAGTATTCCATGATCCCTCAATCCCCTCATTTTTTCTCTTAGCACTTGTCATCAGAGTGAATTTATCTGCTTTTGTTGCTTCATGAAACACTTTTATTCTCTTGACTGTCACATCTAGATTTCTGCCATTGAGCCTAGATTCTCAGCCCTATTAAGGGCCTAATTCAAAGCCTGTTCAAGTTAATAGACTTCCTCTGATGTCAGTGGACTGCAGATCAGTCCCTCAGTCCTTTTTGAGACCCTGCCTGGCTGTCTACATCATGGGTCTGATTTCTAAACCTTGATAACGTGGTGCACATTAAATGATTAAAAATATAAATCAACCCCGACATTAAAGCATACCAAAATTAGGGGACACTTTTGCACGTTTTATTGCTAATCTCTGTGTTTCTGTTTCCAATCTATAAAATATGAAAAATGAAACCACTCTGACTCATTTGGCACTTGTGAGGATAAATTCACAAACATGTGTAATGTACTCAACACTATGAGGAGAGTCATGGGAAAGCCCACGAGCATATTAGTAATTCAGTGCAGCAGATAAAACTTGGGACCACACATTTCAGGCTCAGTTGTGAAACTTGCTTATGTGTATGTACAAGTATGTGGTTAAAACTGTATATTCTTAAAGTGCTTTCCTGGATTGCATCATTAATGAAGATGGTAAGAAAATATTGCAACAGCTGCCTCATTCACTGAATATTTCCCTCTGGTGAACTAAATGAAGCAGGGTCTTGTTAGGGAAAACAGTATGTTATTATTATGTATTTAAAGATGGTATCAAATGCATATGCATAAGAGAGGCTGGATAAAATTGCAGAGGCAATCTTACTTCTGACATTCCCTAATTTTCTGTGCTTGTTTTTTTTAATCTGAAGTGTGTTTTATGACATTTTAATATATATACATCTTATATGGTTGTGTAAACATTATAAACAAGTCAATTGATTTTTTTTTTTTAGTAAGTCTAATTTTATTAAGTGTTCCTTCAGACACCAGGAGCATGATTCATTGGCATCAGTTTCTCAGAGCCATGGCATCTGATTAAGTCAACAATTGATCAGTTGGGAGAATTATTTAACAGGGGCTTTACTTAATAACATCTGCTATAAGTTATTTCTTGCCAGAAGAATCATGTTATGCAGTGCAGCTGTGTAAGGTTGTGTCTAGATTGGCAAGTTTTTCCGCAAAAGCAAGTGCTTTTGCGGAAAAACTTGCCAGCTGTCTACACTGGCCGCTTGAATTTGTGCAAGAACACTGACAATCTAATGTAAGATTGTCAGTTTTCTTCCACAAATACTATGATGCTCCCACTCAGGAAAAAGCCCTCTTGCGCAAATGCTTTTGCGCAAGAGGGCCAGTGTAGACAGGTAAAAACTGTTTTGCGCAAAGAAGCCCCGATAGCGAAAATGGCGATTGGGGTGATTGGGGCTTTCTTGCGCAAAACCACATCTAGATTGGCACGTATGCTTCATATCAGCGGATAACTGCATCAACGGATACAGATATCTGTGGACCATTTTCATGGATAGGAGAGCAGACACCCTGTTTTGATTATCCCTCTGCATCTGGCACCAGCTTCCAGAAACCAGGACATTTGGCTTGATGGACCATTAGTCTGACCCAGTATGGCCATTCTTACGTTTGTAAGAAGGATTAGTGTTTGTCTTACTTTCAGTTCTTCAGAATTGACAGGCGTGAAAACTTACTATTGTAACTGAAGTTGGTAGATATGATTCTAATGCACACAAAGATCTTGGGAAGAGGTCTGTTGATTAAAAAAGTGCATTTTAATACAGTGGATCCATGTTTAAAGATCTCATAACAATTAAATAAAATGCTGAAGACTGCAAAATATTAAATAATTGTAAAGTTATATGGAATCATGTGAAAGTTTTATCCCTCCCACACATTTCCGTTTAGGAAGACGAATTGTAGTTAAAAAAGGAAAGAAAGGAGAAAGGCTGGCTAGTTGATCCTAGTGTTCTCCAGATTTTCAAATTAAAACTGGCTGGTCTGTAAATGTACAGAATTGACATCGCCTACGTTTGTTGCTAATTCTTTGTTTCAATACTTTAGGAATAAACATTTTTTTCTATTGCCAGGTTTTCTGATTATTCCTGATAATCAGACTTGCATTGACTCACTTAACCCCCTCATATTTGGTACAAAATAAAACATCTCAATGATTGTTCTGTCACTCCTTGTTTCCATGGATACTCTTTGAATGCAGTTATAATTAGCACTCTGCAGCCACAGTAGTTTGTCCTCTGAAAGAAATAAGAACATCCTAGGGAGGATATGCTGAACTGTCAATGCCAGCACACTTAAACTTAAGTAATTTTACCACTGCAGGGTTAAACTATGAGGTTGAACTATGAGGTCAAGCTATTAAAAAGAGTGCTGGGGCTTAGGAGTTTGGGTGAAATGTTAAATCAGCTAGAGCCAGATAGACCAGCTACAGTTGTTGGCAATACTTGCTAAAAGTGATTTGGTGCCTTACAGAAAATAGGATCAAGCTGAACCCCAAGATCCTCTTGTCAGTTTCCAGGATTACCACAAATGGCAGTTTCTGTAAAAAGCTACTGCCATGGTGAAATAGTGATGTCACTATGCAAGACCACATTACAATATTGATAGATAATTTAAACAGTCTTAGCTATTAAAATACGTAACTGCACAAGTAAATTACTGCTGCATGACTGCTGAAAACCCTGCAGTGGTAAAGTATTATCTTTATTTATTAAATAGAGGAATGTGAGGCACAGGATAATTAAGTGATTTCTCAATTTTTGCCGGGGGGGAGGGAGCAGAAGAGGAGGAAGAGTGTGGTAGAGTAGGAAACAGAGTCCACATCTGTTGACAACCAATCCTAACCCTATGTCAGTCCTGCACAGAAAGTTCCATTCTGAAAGTTTTTGAATGCTCTCAGCTCCCATTGAGAGAAATGCTAGTGGGGGCTTTCACAGTGTCATAGAATCATAGAACTGGAAGAGACCTCAGAAGGTCATCAAGTCCAGCCCCCTGCTCTAGGCAGGACCAATTCCAACTAAATCAACCCAGCCAGGGCTTTGTCAAGCCGAGACTTAAACACCTCTAGGGATGGAGACTCCACTACTTCCCTAGGTAACCCATTCCAGTGCTTCACCACCCTCCAAGTAAAATAGTTGTTTCTAATATCCAACCTGGACCTCTCCCACCACAACTTGAGACCATTGCTCCTTGTTCTGCCATCTGTCACTATTGAGACCAGCCTCTCTCCATCCTCTTTGGAACCTTCCTTCAGGAAGTTGAAGGCTGCTATCAAATCCCCCCTCACTCTTTGCTTCTGCAGACTAAACAGACCTAACTCCCTCAGCCTCTCCTCATAAGTCATAAGCTCCAGCCCCCTAATCATTTTGGTTGCCCTCTGCTGGACTCTCTCCAATGCGTCCACATCCTTTTTGTAGTAGGGGGCCCAGAACTGGACACAGTACTCCAGATGTGGCCTCACCAAAGCCGAAGAAAGGGGAATGATGACATCTCTGGATCTGCTGGCAATGCTCCTCTTAATGCAACCTAATATGCCATTAGCCTTCTTGGCTACAAGGGCACACTGTTGACTCATATCCAGCTTCTCTTCCACTGTAACCCCCAGGTCCTTTTCTGCAGAACTACTACTTAACTAGTTGGTCCCCAGCTTGTAACAATGGTTGGGATTCTTCCGTCCCAAGTGCAGGACTCTACACTTGTCCTTGTTGAACCTCATGAGATTTCTAGTGGCCCAATCCTCCAATTTGTCTAAGTCACTCTGGACCCTATCTCGGCCATTAAGCGTATCTACCTCTCCCCCCAGCTTAGTGTCATCCGCAAACTTGCTGAGGGTGCAATCCATCCCCTCATCCAGGTCATTAATAAAGATATTGAACAAAACTGGTCCTAGAACTGAACCTTGGGGCACTCTGCTAGAAACCGACCGCCATCCTGACATCGAACCATTGATCACTACCCGCTGGGCCCAGCCTTCTATCCATCTTTCTATCCATCTTACCGTCCATTTATCCAATCCGCATTCCCTTAACTTGCTGGCAAGAATATTGTGGGAGACCATATCAAAAGCCTTGCTAAAGTCAAGGTATGTAACATCCACTGACTTTCCCATGTCCACCGAGCCAGTTACCTCATCATAGAAGCTAATCAGATTGGTCAGGCACGACTTGCCCTTTGTGAATCCGTGCTGACTATTCCTAATCACCTTCTTCTCATCCAAGGGCCTCAAAATGGATTCCTTAAGGATCCCTTCCATGATTTTTCCAGGAACCGAGGTAAGACTGACCGGCCTATAGTTCCCTGGATCGTCCTTCTTCCCTTTTTTGAAGATGGGCACTACATTTGCCTTTTTCCAATCATCCGGGATTTCTCCTGATCTCCACGACTTTTCAAAGATAATAGCCAAAGGCCATAGCAGATCTGTGTTGGTGCTTGGTTCGATAAAATGGCAGGAGTCCCAGAGGCTTTAGGCCAAATACCCAGTGAAAATACAGAATGATGGCAAGACAACAAATTTTGCTAAAGAAGGAGTGATTTATTAAGCTGAACAACTTCCTAATATTTACTTAACATTTACCTAATATAATGAACAACTACCTAATATTTACCATACAACAACTTTTAAACCCTACCTAAGTTACAGCTAAGTCAAATATATACACACTTAAAAAAAAAACTGTTTCTTTAACAGTGACAATAGCAAGGGTAAAAGTTACCACAGAGCAATATTTTTTCTAACCTGGCTCTTTTAAACAACTTAACAACAGTGGGGGTAAATTAAATACTTACAAACTCAGCAACAACAACACAAAGACACACAAGGAAATGGAGCATGCTCAGATTTGTACACCCCTTTTTAGACTTTTTAGATTCGGTGGGTGGGAGGGGGCCTTTGGGTGATCAGTCCTAAGCCAGACTCAGATTCTGTCTTCCAATATCCGGGAGTCCTCCCCTAGCTAAGGGCAGATGTTCTTGCCTATTACCATATTTGTGTTGTTTGTGCTCTGGGAGTGGCATGGGAGTGGTCTGGGTGTGGTGTGAGGCCCATATATGGTGTTGAGTGCTGGACTCTGACAAGCTCCGTTTTATTGGTAGATAAGCCTTGTTGCTATCCATGTGACGTGGTGAGATTGCTGAGGTAGAGCTGCTATAAGCTAGGCCTGGCCAAGAGAACCCATACTTGACAATCTGTTATAGCAAATCAAAAGCTTGGGAACCAGAAAGGGAAAGCCTGAGGTTCACACTCTTAATTCAGTCATTTTCTTAAAGAGCGAAGTCACTTGCTTCTAACACTAGGTATTGTCAGAATTATTTTTCTTTTCTGCCTGTATCAGTCTCTTTGCAGCTTTCTTTGAAATTACCCCTGTGTATACTGATGGCTACATGAGTACAAGTTTCTCTATAAGTACTCTGTTTTAGTTATTAAAAAGAGCTGACAATGTAGGAGTTCTTGAAACAGCTGAAGTTTATCAACTATTCTCTTGGGCTAAATCCAGCTCTCATTAAGTCAATGGCATGGCTGTCATTTACTCCAGTTGGAACAGTCCATGCACTCCTCTTTTAGAACTGAAGTAGAAATATATCCTTTAAATTAAAGCTGCAATTAGCTACAAAAGAAACAAGACCATTTTTACAGAATACTTGGTATGCAAACATGTAAACAGCATTACTAAGAATAAAGCATATTAAACTTAGAAAAGTGCTGACAATTTTTAAGGTCCAAATGTTCAGCCTGTGTAAATCGGTGGAGCTCCATTGAGTGAATAGATCTATGCTGATTTATACCAGCTAGTTTCTGGCCCTAAATCTCTGAAAAGAAGCTAAAGATAAAATAGGTCTCAACTCAAGGGTAGTTATTCCAAATCACATTGGGAGCATATTTAAAAACATAAGAATGACCATACGAGGTTAGAGCAAAGGTCCATCTAACCCAGTATTCTGTCTTACGACAGTGGTCAATGCCAGGTTCCCCAGAAGAAATGAACAGACAGATATTCATCAAGTTCCTTCCCCTTTTGCCAATTCTCAGCCCTGATAAACAGAGCTAGGGACACCATCCCTGCTCACCCTGGCTAATAGCCATTGAAGGACGTATTTTCCATGAACTTACTCAGTTATTTTTTGAACGCTGTTAAAGTCTTGGCCCTCACAGCATTCTCTGGCAGGGAGTCCCATGAGCTGACTGTGCATTCTTTGAAGACATATTTCCTGTTTGTTTTAAACCTGCTACCTATTAATTTCAGTTGTTGACCCCTAATCCTTTTGTTAAGGAAAGAAGTAAATAACTTCTCCTTATTTACTTTCTCCATGTCAGTCATGCTTTTATTGCCCTCTATCATATCTCCCCTTCCTTGTCTCTCTTCTAAGCTGAAAAATTCCAGTCTTACTAATCTTTCCTCCTATGGCAGCTATTCCATACCCTAATCATTTTTGTTGCCCGTATATCTTTTTTGAGATGAGGTGACCACATCTCACACCGTATTTAATGTGGGTATGCCATGGATTTATAAAGCAGCAATAAGATATTTCCTGTCTTTTTAGGCATCCCTTTCTTAATGATTCCCAATGTTCAGTTTGCTTTTTTGACTGCTAATTGCACATTGAGTGGATGTTTTCAGAGAACTATGTGTAACCCACACACCTAGTATGGCTACTGAGTACTGCAAGTGGCATCTAGACCACTGCAACAGTTAAGATCAAGAGACCTCTACAGCATGGGCTGGGAGCCAGCTGTTTTTTAGCTCAGAGGGTAGAGGTTCCTATAGTCAGCTCCCGAGGTCCCAGGTTCAAATCCACCTTGGTGGTGGTTACAGATGCACAACTATCTTTCTTGACTGGTAAAAGCTAATTCAGACCCCATTATTTTATATATATGTATAACTGGGATTATGTTTTCCAATGTGCAGTATCAGTATTTTGTATTTATTAAAATTGAATTTCATCTGCCATTTTGTTGCCCAGTCATTCAGTTTTATGAGATCCCTTTGAAGCTTGTTGCAGCCTGCTGTTGACTTAACTATCTTGAGTTATTTTATATCTGCAAATTTTGTTACTTTACTGATTACTCCTTTCTCCAGATCATTTATGAATATGTTGAATAGGATCAGCCCCACTTTGGAACCCTGGAGGACACCACTAGTTAACTCTCTCCATTCTAAAACTCACAATTCTGTTCTTTACTATAGTTTCAACCAGGTTTCCCGGTACTGAAAATAGATTTATCAGCCTGTAATCGCCAGGATCACCTCTGGAGCCCTTTTTAAAAAATGGCACCACATTAGTTATTCTCTAATCATTGGTACCGAGGCTGAATTAAAGGATTGGTTACAAATCACAGTTAGTAATTCTGCACTTTCACATTTGAGTTCTTTCAGAACTCTTGGGTAAATACCATCTGGTCTTGATGACTTATTACTGTTTAGTTTATCATTTTGTTCCAAAACTTTCTTTAATGATACCTCAATCTGGGACAGTTCCTCACATTTGTCACCTAAAAAGAATGGCTCAGGTTTGGGAATGTTCCCCACATCCTCAGCCATGGAGACTGATGCATAGAACTCATTTAGTTTCTCTGCAATGACCTTAATCATCCTTGAGTGCTCCTTTAGCATCCATCCAGTGGCCGCCACTAGCAGTTTAGCAGGTTTCCTGCTTCTGATATGCTAAAAAAAAAATTGCTATTGATTTTTGAGT